CAAAGAATATTTTACTTTTTTAAGTTTGTAAAATAGTAAATATAATTATAATTTCCCTTGATTTTTTTTAATGACAGCTCTTTTATAATACTCTACATCTGGTAGGCTTTTAATCTATGGTCACTTTAAGAGCATTCTTTCGCTCAGCCATTATGCAGATAATAAACAGGAATGTTTAGTGGAACCTCTGTGGCCATTTTGATGTTAAGGTTGTACCTAATTAAATCCTCACTGATCTCTCTTTTGAGAGGTTTTATAATTGGGATTTAATTTAATTTTTGCAGATCTTACAAATTCCTTCTCTGCATGTCACGGCTCGGCCGTCTGGCCTCGTTCCTCCAACAACAGCATAATTCTGATTGTTTTAACATTGATTTTCACAATTTTAATGATGACGCTGAGTTAAGCTGGCATCATTGATCAAACGTGGATCTCTCCTTTCAGCTGTCTCTGTGATGGACCTTTACATTCCATTGAGTAGCTCATTAGTCATGTGCAGAAGTAGCTGGACACATTGCTCTGCTGCCTGTGTCAGTGCATGAGGAGGGGCCTGTGTCCTCAGGGTAGAAAGTTCAGATGCAACCAAGGTACAGACATCTTTATTGTAGCACAGAGCAGTTGGAAGCAGAAGGACCCATGGTATCTGGTCTGTGTTCATTAAAGGATCTCTGAATTTTTTTTAAAACAATTAATATATGTAATTCCTACACAAGCCTTTTTAAATTTCTATTACTAAAAACTTATTTCTTGTATAACTGCAATACTAATAATATAAAACTTAAACATGGCTTCCTTGTTCACTTGGTGTACAGAATACTATAATATAATAGGATCACTGTTTCAACACTAGATTGATTGTGCGACTATAGAAGGAGAGTCATTTCTGTCTGCACTGTGGAGATTTCTCTTCTCTTGCTGTTGTACTGGGGAGAGAGTGAATGTCATTAATTATTTTAATTTCCCTAAAAACTTTAGGGAAAATTAGGGGTAAACAAAATTTTAAATTTTGCATTAATGTCAATATGGAAAAAAAAAAAGTTGTTTGGTGGTTTTACCGATGCAATGGGCTCTGGAGGTAAGGGAAGCTTCGTTTCACTATTCTGGGCCTGGTATTCTAATGATCCATCATTAGCCTCATTATTTTATGGGGTTTTTCAAGAAAAAAATGATAAAAATTTAAATAAAAAACAAACAAGAGAATACACACATAACAATCAAAATGCAAAGGAACACTAAATGAAAAATGAACTATCCTAGACACATCTCCCTTAAAAAAAAACTTTTTGAATAAAGAAAAAAAAAAGTAGATCCTTGTTTTCCAACCAAATTTGACCTAAGCAGCTCTATGAGCAAAAGACAGTTTCTGCTAGAATAGAGGAAAGACATTCTAGATTGTTTCAGGGGTGGTAATTATACCTGACAGCCAACATCAAAGTCCAGCTGATGCCAGTGAATCTTTCAGCAACCTACCCAGGTGTTTCCAATCCAGAAATTTAGACACTTTCTCCACTGTCTGTAGTAATTATACACGAACACCCCAAGAATATTGTCCCACCTCCAAATGGCAAACAACGGTGAAAAAACGTTACAAAAAAAAACCCCATCTGCAAACGTATTATGGGTATAGAAAATTGTGGATTTATTCAGGGAAGAGTGGGATATCCCTGAGTTTCAGAAGAAGCAAAGAACCACTGGAAGTGCTGCAAAAGTGAGCTGCAACATAAAGTTGAGAAAACAGGACTGCACAGCTTTAAACTACACTAAAACACTGTACGCTATGTAAGGAACTGTAAAAAAGCTGTCTGATGTACAAAGCTTTTGATGTACAGTATATGTTTGATCACAAATATCAACGAAAAGGAAATAGACTGTACAGTTATATTATCCAGGAAATAGACTGTACAATTATATTATCCAAGTGCACAAAATCGTCCATCAGATTATCCAAACGGAAAGGATCAAACTGACAAAGTTTGAATTAGTTATATTCTGCAGGGAGTCTGCCCTAACCTCCTCGTGTCCTGGAATTTCTGTAAGAAGACTTCAGAGATCCACCGACATATCCTGAATTGGTAAAAGATCAGAGAAGAGGAAGCTTGTTGAAACATAAAAATTTGGGCTTCCCCTGCAGTATGAGGCCAACTTCAAAGAAAGAAAAAGTTCTCGTGTCTTGCCCAAGCGGGAGAAATACAGTATTTTAGGAGAAAGATGAGGATGAGTCTGTTTGTGAGTCAGACTGTAAACTGTTAGGCGAGAGTAAGCATCAGGTGCAGTCCAGTTCTGAAAAGAAAAACTAACCAGCCCAAGAAGTACATGTTATATTTCAGATGCAGAAGACAGAGGCTCAAGTAGTTTAGGCACAGGGGTGGAGGCAACAATCCCCCATTAGTAGAATTCAAAAATCCCTCACTAACATTCAGAAGGTTGTGATTACCACATCTTTAGAAAGGAAGTCATTAGGAGGAGCAAAATTAGATATCACTGGGCAACCTGCTGGGAGGAAATGTAATGCATGTGGAGGAGCTGAACACAATGCCCACAAAATAGACCAGCCCCTGATACAGTAGAGGACATCATGAAGGCTGTGGAGAAAAGCATCACCAGAAGTCAAGCAGGAGAATTTCAGAAGGTCTTAGTGAAGGAGCCACCTAAATGCTCAGTAGAAAAGAGCTATGATAATTGCAAAGTAGATGCCAGTAGATTACTTTTTTTAAGAGTAGTGGAGAAAAATTAATTGTGTTATCCTCAAAGTCACCTACGTGGGCTAGAGACAGCAGGAAAACAACTCATATCACCTTCCGAGAAAGTCAAAAGGTCAAAGAGAAGATACTTTCACCACCAAGATGAATTCATGAGGTCATGTGTAAAACATCAAGACAATTCATGGAACTGCTGATCAACAAAACAAACTTAACTGAAAGTCTAAAAGGTATTCTCCTTCAGTGTAAGTGAAGATAGAAGACGTATATAGTAGAGCATGCTGAATACGAAGAAGACCTAGAAATCTGGGGCCTGGGCAATACAACATTTCTCAATGATGCATATGTTTCTGTCAAATTAGAGTTTCCTCCCTCTGCTGTAAGGTCTACAGAAACCTTTGAGACTTGAATCTTGTATGCTCAAGGCCAACAGAGATGTTGTCACTAACTGGAGAACATGTAATTCCTCTAGGGCATGTTGCTTGAGAAATAGGCTGAAATGCATGGAGAGTACTCCAGATCCCATTCCATGGAAGTAGATTTGCTTCCAGAGCTCGTGCTAGTACCAAAAGTGTGGTCAGCTAGTAAGTTGAAGCAACCTTGTGAAATGTCATAATACTCTTTTGTATACTTTAGTCCCCATAAGACTAGTGCAAATTAAAACTGAAAAGAAATAGATTTGGGAAGTGGGTTACTATTACTTGAATGAATAGCCAGTGCAAAAAAATTGTTGACAAAGAAGGATGACAGTTTTTCAAAGAGTGAGCTGGACATGGACTACAATAAAAATGCCTACCATCACATTGGGTTAAAACAAGATCATCCTTTTAGACAGTGACCGGAGAGAGTAGCATCATTAGACTTGAAAGATTTGAGAAAAAATTTGAAAAGCTAAACAAATGGCAGGGATGATTAGAGAATCTCAAAGTCCCTATGCCTCTCCAATTGTTGTTGTTAGAAAGATGAAGAGTGTGATCTGGATGGGTGTTTACTATTGCGTCTGAATCAGAGAACTGTTCTTGTCCAGTACACCACACTCAGGAGAGAAGATGCCTGATAGGAATCAAATTATTTACTGTTTTGAACTTAGGATGTGGCTACTATCCGATTCCAATAAACCCATATGATTTTGGGAAGATCTGCGTTTATACCGCCCCCCAACAGCTCCCCTTAAGCTGCAAAGACAGCAGAGGGGGTGTACATATGCTGCAATGCTTTGCATTGTGGCTCATCAAAATTGACCCCAGCTAATGGTGCTGCTTGCTGAATGCAACCCATTCAACTGGATGGGTGTACCCTGCGAATGCATGCATTGCACACAGTTGCAGCATGCTGGTGCAGGTTTTAAAGGGTTAGAACAGGCAATTAGTTATAAGGTGATATAATGTCTCCTCACCACTTGTCAAATGCCTTCTGAAGAGCAATATGAATGTGTATTGCTCCATAGAGGGTAACACAAGTGTAACTGAGGCCTAAGGCTATGAGATTTCTATTGCCATTAAAATGTAATACAAAATAATTGCATGAAATGCCATTCTTGAGGGAATTAGGCTTCAAGATTTAATACAGTTCTGCTGCTTGTTTGTTTCAGCTTTTTTGTAGGTGAAGCAACTGAGACAATCTACACTTCAAAAAACACTGTATTGCACAATTAAGTGTACATTTGTTATTGGCTGCTTTCAATTAGTGCTAGGGAGCTACTTTTAACATGATGTTGCTCTTATTGTAGGAGCACAACCAATGATTGTAACCTTTACATTTTCATGTGAAATTTCCAATGCAAGATGGTGTTTGTTGTTTACTGCATTAGCTACGTATATAACCAAGGTATCATATTCAGATGCTTAGGGGAAGATCTACTAAAAATGAAGTATTTGATTGAGTCAAAAACATTCTTGGTATAAAAATTCAAACTGTACTTCAAAATACCATCATAGTAATTTGTTCCAGGAATAGATACTAAACCCTTCTAACATATTATCTGAATTACCTATTCCATTTTGTGATCGCTGAGAGTCATATTTAAATTTTGCCTGAAATATCTCATTAGCTGTATACTTAACCCTCTTTCTTAGTTAACCCTCTTTCTTAGCTCTGAAGAGTGTTTAGTGTATGGACTTTAGTTATCTTCTGTAAGCGAGTTGAAGTGAATGAAGGGAAACAAAGAAACACAGCGCCTCTAAGTGTGTACTGTGAAGGTATTTAATAGAAAGATAAGTAGTAACTCACATCTTAGAAAATTTAAAAACAGGCTTATGGGTAAGAGGGGGAGACGTCTGTAGCCAGATGTTGTTGTGTGTCTGATCCAGAGAGGAGATCGATTGAGTCCGTCAGTAGGTGGTGCTGTGCATGTGCAACATGGATGGTAAGCCTGGTGGAATCTCCAAGGTGTCTGCCAGCAAATGGTGCCGTACATATGCAGCATGGATGGTGGAGCCTGGCAGAGTCTCCAAGATGTCTGGAATCAGCACGTGGCATCTGACGTCATCAAAATGAGCCTGTTTTTAAATTCTAAGATGTGAGTTACTACTTATCTTTCTATTAAATACCTTCACAGTACACACTTAGAGGCGCTGTGTTTTTTTTGTTTCCCTTCTGCAGAGTTATGCTTCGCTCCTACGCAGCTTGCCCTTAGTGCCTACTGGACTACCTTCACCCCTGCCCATTTGGAACTCATCAAACATACATGGACTGCCACACCATGCGCCTGTTATCCCTTTTGAAGTGAATGAAGCAATTGTTTATTTTAACTCTCTCTCTCTCTTTAGTCTTATTTCAGCACCCAATACAGGAACTCATACTGCCAACCTTTTAAAAATTCAGCTAGAGTACAGAGCTGATAGACACAAAGTGAAAATGTATTATATAAAATTACAAATATGTTATAAAAGATTCTCAAATTTCCCAAACCAAATTGAAATAAAGTAATCGGTAAGGTGCCATTAAAAACATTTTCCATTCTTTTTAGCAATAATGTGCCTTTTTGTGTCTGTCCTACAGATAACAAGATAAAGTAACCTGCTGTTAGAACACTTACCCTCCATCCAATTTCTCCTTGTAATGAGTAAATTGGCTGGTTCTGATACCTGGAGAGAGTGCTGTGTATAATTGCTAAAACTCTTCTGCCACAAGAAAAGTAATCAATAGCCATAATAATCTTCCTATCTAGAGACAGTGATACATTGCTGCAACAACTCACAAACAGTATTTACAGTCGTCTGTTATTGCCGTCATTACCAAAGCCATTTCTGTTTTACCTTTTATGAAATTCTGTCATCCTAAAAATACTTTTATTTTCCTTTGGGAATTAATTGAAAAGTACCTAAACTCCAGCAAGAATAGGAAATAAAACTTGTTAAAATACAAGCTGAATAGCAATCCATGATATCTACGATCCACCCCAGCAATACAATGGGTTCCCTTCTCCTGATCTAAAGGAATAATTTACTGACAGCTGTCTCTTTTTATGTATTTATTATAATTTATTTATGTATTTTATTATAACAAAGTGGAAGCAACTGGAAACAACAGCAACTCAGCTACAAAGTTGTAGACAACATAAAATGGCAGAGTGGAGTCAGCGCATGCTGAAGCGCACAGAAGTCGCCAACTGTCTGCTAAAGACCTCCAAACTTTGTGTGGCCTTCAGATTAGCACAACAACAAAGCATAGAGAACTTCATGGAATGTGTTTCCATGGCTGAGCTGCTGCATCCAAGCATTACATTCCCAAGTGCAATGCAAAGCATAGGATGCAGTGGTGTAAAGCAAGCCGCCACTGGACTCTAGAGCAGTGGAGACGTGTTCTCTGGAGTGACGATTGGTACTTGTCTGACTGAATTGTGTCAAGTGTAAAGTTTGGTGGAGGGGGGGTTATGGTGTGGAGTTGTTTTCAGGGGTCGGGCTTGGCCCCTTAGTTCCAGTGAAGGGGGCTCTTAAGGTGTCAGCATACCAAGACATTTTGGACAATTTTATGCTCCAACATGACTGCGCACCAGTGCACAAAGAGAGATCCATAAAGACAGGTCCATAAAGACATGGATGACTGAGTTTGGTGTGGAGGAACTTGACTGGCCTCCACAGAGTTCTGACCTCAACCCGATAGAACATCTCTTTGGGATGAATTAAAGCAGAGACTGGGAGCCAGGCCTTCTCGTCCAACATCAGTGCCTGACCTCACAAATGCGCTTCTGGGAGGATGGTGAAACATTCCCATAGACACACTCCTAAACCTTATGGACAGCCTTCCCAGAAGAGTTGAAGCTGTTATAGCTGCAAAGGGTGGGCCACCTCAATATTGAACCCTACGGACTAAGATGGGGATGCCATTAAAATTCATGTGTGTGTAAAGGTAGACGTCCCAAAACTTTTGGCAATACAGTGTGTGTGTGTGTGTATATATATATATATATATATATATATATATATATATATATGTATATATATATAGAGAGAGAGAGAGAGAGAGAGAGAGAGAGAGAGGAGAGAGATGTGAGATTTTCCCATTCAATGACACAATCTGTCCACCAGGCATTGAGAGAGAGAGAGAGAGAGAGAGAGAGAGAGCTCTTGTGCAGATCATTTTTACAGGGACGACCACGCATAAGGGAGAGTAGCAACAGTGCTAAACTTTCGCATTTGTAGACAGTGGTCATACCGTTGGAACAATGAACATCAAGGCTTTTGGGAGAAAGTGTTTGTCTCCTTTGCCAGCTTCATGTGAGAGCGCGTTTTCTGTGAGTATGGTACATCTGACAGTGACTTCTTGGAGTTCGGCGATGGTGCACTTTGCCTTTTTTTTTGTCTAACCCCTGTACATATGTTGGACTATGGGTTGGTCCTGCTGCTTGTGCACCTGAAAAAAAATAATCGGTGTGGATCACCAAGTATTGAAGTTGGATAACAAATATATACAGCCTTGCATCTCGTCTAGGGACTCGCTCTCCTAAAATATGTTGATGCACTTTGTTTATGCATGGTATTTGGTGATATAACATGCACTTTATTAAAATGACTCAGATCACTGTGGCTGATGATCTGTTATTTACATGGGTATTGTCCAATCTTTTATCTACACCCCGTTCCAAATTATTATGCAAATTCTATTTAGGTCTCACAAAGATTAAATATTTTGTTTTTCAGTTTAACTCATGGATGGCATTGTGTGTCAGGGCTCTTTTGATCACTGAAAACAATCTCGGACACCTGTGATAATTAGATTGGCAGGTGAGCCCAATTTAAGGAAAAACTACTAATGGAGGGTGTTCCACATTATTATGCAGAGCACCATTTTCAAGCAATATGGGGAAGAAAAAGGATCTTTCTGCTGCCGAAAAGAGTGAAATAGTTCAATGCCTTGGACGAGGTATGAAAACATTAGATATTTCATGAAAACTTAAGTGTGATCACTGCACTATTAAGAGATTTGTGGCTGATTCAGAGCACAGACGGGTTTGTGCAGAAAAAGGCACATTGAGGAAGATTTCTGCCAGATCCATGCATCGGATCAAGAGAGCAGCTGCTAAAATACCATTACATAGCAGCAAACAGATATTTGAAGCTGCTGGTGCCTCTGGAGTCCCACGGACATCAAGGTGTAGAGTCCTCCAGAGTCTTGCAAGTGTGCATAAACCTTCTATTTGGCCACCACTAACCAATGCTCACAAGCAGAAACGGCTGCATTGGGCAGAAAAATACATGAAGACTAATTTTCAAACAGACCTGTTCACTGATGAGTGCCGTGCAACCCTGGATGGTCCAGATGGATGGAGTAGTGGATGGTTGGTGGACGGCCACCCTGTTCCAACAAGGCTGCGACGTCAGCAAGGCAGTGATGGAGTCATGTTTTGGGCCGAAATCATGGGAACAGAGCTGGTCGGCCCCTTTAGGATCCCCGAAGTTGTAAAGGGGACTTCTGCAAAGTATGTGGAGTTTATGACTGACCATTTTCTTCCCTGGTACAGAAGGAAAAACTATGCTTTCCGTAATAAAATCATCTTCATGCATGACAATGCACCATCTCATGCTGCAAAGAATACCTCTGCATCAATGGCTGCTATGGGGATAAAAGGAGAGAAAGTCATGGTGTGGCCTCCATCCTCCCCTGACCTCAATCCTATTGAGAACCTTTGGGGCATCCTCAAGCAAGAGATCTATGAGGGTGGGAGGCAGTTTACATCCAAACAACAGCTCTGGGAGGCTATTCTGACATCTTGCAAACAAATTCAAGCAGAAATTGCCCAAAAACTCACGAGTTCAATGGATGCAAAACTTGTGAAGCTACTATCAAATAAGGGGTCCTATGTTAAAATGTTTAAAAAGTTAAAATGTTGTTAAAAGTTTGATTGAAATAGCTTTTGATTTCAGTAAATATGCTGCAAACACAACAAATGTCAATTTTCAGTTCTTTACAACCTATAAAGTGTTTTGAAACTTACTGTGCGTAATAATTTGGAACAGTGCATTGTAAGTTTTTTATGTTTAACAAAAATACTGTTATCTTTAGGAGGTTTGTTCAATAAAATGTGAATTGTACTCTTAATTGCTGATAACATGAGAATTATGCTGACTGTTATTTACATCAATTATTTAAGTGAATGAGAAAAATATAATTTGCATAATAATTTGGAACAGGGTGTATAAAGGTTTCATTTATCCAGGTCATAGTATACTGTATGTAATAGCAGTTAGTCATATTCAGCTGGACTTGTTCTGTAATGTTAAATGCAGGCCAGGACTGGGGATAGGGCATACCAGGCATTTGCCCGGTGGGACGGAGCCACCTGGATAGGAGGGGTGGCTGGGCAACACATAGAAGAATGGACCATGCATTTCGCAGTTCCTCTATGTACGGCCCCTCCTATGCCCTGGGCTACTGCATGCTCCCCCCTGCGGCTACCCCCCCTCAACTCCTGCAGTGCTGCAGCCAGATTCCCCCCTCCCTGCAGCTGCTGCAGAGCATCTGTCAGCATATTCTGTCCCCAATGCTGACAGTTCCCGCAGCACAGATGGGGGAGGAGAGAGAAAGCTGCCCCTCTTCCTCCCGCCCTCTCCTCCTGTGTCTACCCTGCCCACACTCCCCTCCAGCTTTATGTCTTCGCTCCCACCATCTTTCTATACTTCGCTATTTATTTCTCTCACTCTCTCTTCTCTGTCTCCTGTTTCTGTCTTTGTTTCCATCTTTACCTCTCTGTCTCCTGTTTCCCTCCTTCCTTCTTTACCCCCTTCCTTCTTTCTTTTCGCTTTCTTTCCTTCTTTCCCTTTCTTTCCTGCTCTCTCTCTTTCTTTCCTTCTTGCTTTCTTTCTTTCCTCTCCTTTTTTTCTTTCTCTCCTATAAAAAAAAAATATAATTGTAAAAAATAAAATAAAAACCTACTGACAGTAGTGGCAGAACTACCAGGGCCGCAAAGGTCGCTCTTGCGACTAGGCCCTGGCATTCCGCCACTGGGTCCAAAGAAAGGGTCCCCGGGCTTGTTGCTGCTCAGTCCAAAATGCCTGGGCCTATTTTTTGTCCCAGCCCTGGCCTGATTAAATGTGTTTTAGTAGTTATTCAAATGGCTTCTTTGGCTCTAATGAGTGTCAGAAATATACTCCAGCTTTTATTGTCACATGGATACCTCAGCACCCTAATCCAGTCACCATGTCATTTGCCTTGATATGTTCCATGGATTTTGATTAGGCTGTATAAGTTACTATACTATATCGGTCTTGCGTGCACAGTTTTGATGGAGG